ACCACTTCTTCCCAATGCCAGGTTGGGCGGTAGCTTGCCTTGATCTGGTCTGCAAGGTGCAAGGGCTCCTTCCCCCTCGCAGCATGGAGACGGCACTGGTGTTCCAACCATGTGGAGGACACCAGGTTTGGAGACTTGCCGTATGGCTGGAGGGGAGAAAGAGGGGAGCAAGCCCCAAACCTAATGGGCCAAATCAAGGCAAGCATTGTAGGTTTCCCATCCCTGCACTAATAGACTGGTCCTGCTCTTGCTGACGTCAGTGAGGGTTTTGTTATTGACTTTTCCAGTTAAAGTCTGGTTTCCCCGTGCCATTCTTCTCACTTATACTTTTAGGAAAGACAGAAAAAAGAAAAGACGGTTTGCATATTTCCTGAATCCTTGAGGGAATACAACTGAGCAATAACTATTACTGCCACAGTTGCAATCAGTGAAAGCATTTGACCTGGCTTCCCTTTCTTTTAAGAGTGTGCATTCATAAAGGAACATTATCTGAAAGATTCTCAGATTTAAAACTCATTCCAACTCTTGGTCCGAAAGAGTTTAATACAAACTACGGTTTATCTCTTCACTCAGACTTTGGCAACGGGAGGTTATAATGAGGGATTATGGGAACAGGCAGCTGGGAAAGGGGAGAAAATTTTGATTTGAGCGTTGAGCTTTGGTGGTGACTTCCGTGGTATTTTCTACATGTCAAAATACATTTGAGTAACGGGTATTTTTGTATAATTATAAATCTAACAAACATGATGGATAAACTGTTAACAAACCTTAATTATAATCCATGTACTTATAATCATGTACCACTGTAACAGTTCTCTTTAGAATAGTTGGCAAATATACCTCATGAAATAAAACATCGGAAGTACACAAGACTAAATTTTTCTTTTAAAACCAGGTCTCTTATGTGTAACATCACTAAGTTTCAGTGATCTAAAACTGAAAACTATTAGTTCTTTATCAGATTTATATTCCCAAATTCACAATATCTTTAAATATCTGGCTAGCTATCTCATTTATGGGGATTTATAAACTTAGTAAATGTGAATTACCGTTTCATTTTTTGTGCATCATCTCTGTAGTCCACAAAGTCATAAACAAACTTGGCAATTATATCATCCACAACTTGATACTGGGTGCTCTGTGCAAAGTTTCGGTGCTGTTCACTTTCAAGATGCTAAAATTTAAAAAATAAAAAAAAAAAAACAAATAAAAAAATCCCAGAAACATCCAATACCACAGCCTGGGGTCACTGGTTAATCCTAATGGTTACATGCAGCACCCTCTCCACTCTGTATCAGAGGCAGGGGTACATACCAGCTCCTGCAGAGCTACCTTCCACCCCTGTGCTGCTGCCTCCTACAGAGGCAGCAGTACAAGGGGGAGGAAACAGGTAGGAACTGAGGCTCATGGGGAGTTGGCTTAAAAGCCAGTCCCCTGACAGTAAATGTGTAACTGCTGTAAATTTCAATAGTTAACACATTTACAAAAATAAACACATTTTAACATCCCTAATAGAAATAAAATATCTCCATTAAAATAAAACAGTAAGCTTTTTCTGAAACAATACTACAGGAAAATACTCCAATATCAATAATTTATACAGCACATGCATATGGACAGATTAATATATTACAGGAGAAGCAAGATGAAAATACAAGGTCATATCGATTTGGGTCCTTAGATTCCTATTTTAGAGCACCACATTCTACAGGTCTCTTTCCTCTGATCCTACTGAGGAATTAGGGATGTTAGATATTGGGTCATTAAAAAGTCAAGTAACTACATGAATTTTTATCAGTTACTCAACTATTCTATAGTCCTCAGGGGTGGGGCCGGTAGTTAGTGTGCTCCAGCCCCATTCCTAGGGAGCCTCCTGCTACCCCATAGTGCTGCCTCTGTATTAGAGGAGCTGATCTGCGAGGGGAGCCAGTTTAAAAATCAGCTCCCCACGCAGATCAGCTGCCTGCCACCCTGTGCTGCTGCCTCTGATATAGCGGCAGCAGCACACCCTGTCTGTGGGGGATCCAAGCTTCTCACAGACAAAGTCTGCTCTGCCTCAGAGCAGCCTCTGTCCACGGAAAGACTAATAGAGGCAGCACCCCAGAGGGTAAAGGGGAGGCTGCTCTGAGGAGTCGGCAGCTCTGAGCTCCCCCCAGCACTGGCTCCTGCTTCCCCCCTCCTTGCTGCCTCTGTAAATGGGGAAGAATGCATGCAGTTAATAAGATTAACTGATAAGCCTAGGCCTTCTTGATGTCAAGAAACTCTGCTACAGGTTAGGACCAAATCTACACAAACACCCCCCCAGAGCCCTGACCAGGAGCATTCTATCTGATACCCAAGATTGATAAACTTGGAAATCCCGAATGTCCCATCATCTGAGACATTGGAACCCTTGGCGCAGAATTATTCGACTATGTTGACTCTCTCCTCAATCCCTACACTACCAACACTCCTTGCTATCTTCGAGACACCAGTGACTTCCCGAGGAAACTAGAGAGCATAAGTTATCTTCCTGAAAACATCATTCTAGCTACCATGGCCTATACCTGCTTCCTGCTGCACTTCTGCTTTTGAAATGTAGCAAGAGCCCTGTGGGCTTGCTTGCCCCCTGCTCTTTGGGGCTCTTGATCCCTCGGGGCTTTTGTTACATTTTGAAGGCTGAAGCACAGTAGTCCGAATGTGCTTGCTGCTCTTCTACCTTTCAAATATAGTAAGAGCTGCGGGCTGTTCTTACACCATTTAAAACGCTTATATGTAGCCGGGACATCGAGTGCCCTACTTCCCCCCTTATCAACTAATACAGTAGTCAATGGAAATTCAATCAACTACTTGACTGAATTGATCAGTCAAAATGTAACATCCCTAGCTCATACAACTGCATGTCCTCTAATTTGATATATGCCATCAAGAATAAATGGACACAAATCAGACATCAGAAATGGTAACACACATAAACCCGTAGGGAATATTTTAACCTGCCTGGTCATTCAATCATGGATTTAAAAGTAGCCATTCTTCTAGAAAGAAATTTCACTAACCATTTACAGAGAGAATCTGCAAAACTGGAATTCATCTTCAAATTTGAAACTGTTACTCTGGGCCTAAATAACTACAATAAATGGTTGGCACATTACAAAGCCAATTTCCCTTTCCTTTGACATTTGTATTTTCACATAAAAAGCTACGAATAGGAGAGTACTTACCCTGTGCAGTAATGGGGATTCTTCGAAATGTGTATCCCCGTGGGTGCTCCACTCTGGGTGCTGGTGTGTCCTTGCGCCTGCAATTGGAGATTTTTCTAGCAGTGCTCTGCCATGCTGCATGCATGCTGTGGCGTCTCCTCGTGCCGTTGGTGTCTTGGCCCATCTGTTCCTTCTCTACCTGGTTGTAAGCCACCAAAGGGCTCCAAAGCAGGGGAAGGAGGGAGGGTAGTGGAGCACCCATGGGGACACACATCTCAAAGAACCCCCGTTACTGCACAGGGTAACTCTTCTCTACTTCGAGTGATGTCCCTGTGGGTGCACCACTCTGAGTGACTACAGAGCAATGTTCGTATCATGGAGGTGGATTTGAAGCCCTGCCCCTGAAATTGAGGGCAGCACCACTTGTCCGACTAATGTTGCTGGAGCAATAGCGGAGGTGGGAGCATAATGTTTGGCAAATGTCCTCTAAAGGTATGTCTTTGAGGAAAGCTGCTGTGAAGGCAATTGTTCTTGTAGAATGAGCCTTGATGGACGTCTGGCAGTTGCTTATTGTGAATAGTGTAACACATATGAATACAAGGAGATCATTTGGATATTCTCTGTAAGGAAATGGCTTGATTGTTGGATTGCTCTGCGAACAAGAGGAAGAGTCTTGTTGACTTTCTTCATGGTTTTGTTTGATCTAGGTAGAAGGTGAACGTCCAAGGTATGCAGTGCTGTGTGGGATGGATCAGAATTCGGCTTGAGGCAGAAAGCAGGTAAGTGTATGACTTCATTGATATAGAAAGGGGATAGCACCTTCAGGAGAAATTTGTGATGAGGTTTAAAGGTTACTCTGTTCTTGGTGAATATCATGAATGGTGGGTCAGCCATGAGTGCAACTAACTCATCGACTCTCCTGCTAGGAGTAGATGTGTCTGTTCCTTTTGGTGGAATGGAACCCCCGCCAGGAGATTATCTGCTGATGCAGATAATCCACCATTTTAGAGATGCAAGAACATTTGTAGGTACGGTAATTCTCTTGTTTTGAGAGTAGCGAGATGTGATGTACATGGTTGCTATTCAGAGTTGAAGATAGGCATGACAAACCACGTAAATAGTTGCAGCCATGTGCCCCATCAATAGGAGGCAGGTGAGTATCATGGTAGAAGGGGTCATGGATACCATATTTATGAGATCTTGTATAGCTATGAAGCGCTGCTGAGGTAAGTATGTGTTGGCTGAGATTGAATGTAGGTGAGCGTTGATGAACTCCACGTCTTGGACTGGGTGCAGTGTTGATTTCTGTTTGCTGATTAGAAGGCCTAGCCGACTAAGGAGGGCTCTGGTTATGTTTATTATGGAGGTGGTTTCCTTGCAAAACACTCCTTTTATCAGGCAGTTGTCGAGGTATGGAAAGATGACGTGTTGTCTGATGTATGCAATGACAACTTCTAGTGCCTTTGAAAATACTTGGGGGGGGGGGGGGGGGGGGAAAAAGAGGCCAAAAGGTAGGATGTTGTATTGATAATGGTCTGGTCCAAGAGCAAAACGTAGGTAATGCCTGCGTGGTTTGCCAAAAGAGCAGAGTAATTTGCAATTCTCAGTTGCCGTGTGGAGGAAGAATAGAACTTTCTGCTGAAGAGATCTAATGTTTTATGATCCTTTTCTTGACTACCCAACCTATATATTGTGGTAGTTTGGATCTCTTCTGGGTTGATTCCACAACCAAGGAGTTTGCTTGGTGGTGTGTGAACAGAAATTCCATGTATTTCGGGGGAAGAAAGTATTTCCTGTCCGCCCTTTTGCTGGTAAGCTGAATAGATGCAGGTGTATTCCATAGTTCATCTGATGTTTCCATAATTGCCTTTGCATGGGAAGATGGCTTTACCCATAGACAAGTGGGGTGTAAATTCTTTAACAAGCGATTCTATTTTTCCTGCAGTTCTTGGGGAGAGACTTGCTGGCACTTTTTTACTTCCACAACTCATCTGATGTTTCCATAATTGCTTCGTCTATAAGGTAAGGCAATCTTCCCGTGTAATGTGTGGTGCAGATTCTTTAACAGGGGGTGCTGATTTTCCTGTACTTCTTGGAGGGAGATTTGTTGGCTTGCTGCCACCCTTTTAAAAAGCTCATGAAATTGTTTAAGGTCATCAATTGGGCACATGTCAGATGGTATGACCGCATCATCTGGAAGTGGCGGAGAATTGTCCGATGGGAATGCATTGAATGTGAGAGAGTCTGGGTCCTCATCAGGTATTTGTTCATCCTACTCTGAGTCTTCCGTAGGAGGGAGGGTCCGGGTTAGACGCAAACCCCTTCTTGCCGGTGTGGAATGAATTGAGGACCAGTGTCTATATGGGTCCCCAAGTTCCCCACTGCGGTGAATAAGGTTCAGGAGGGTAAGACCAGTGTGGGTACTAGGGGTTTTGATGTAGTGGTACAAACATGGTACAAACGTAGTGGTACAAACGTGACCCAGTCGGTGATACATGTAGTGGTACAAACGTGACCCAGTCGGTGATACATGCTATGAAGAGAATGTAGTCATCTGGTCGTCATCTGGTAAAGGACTGCGGTGAGAAAGTACTGGGGATTTTGGTATGTGTGGAGAGCCACGGGCTGAAGACATTGCAGGTGATACACCTGTGGAGGAGGGGCACGAGTGGTGCTGTTTGTTCTATCAGCTGTTAATCATGGCATCTCTGCTGCTGCCTTCCTCAGCTGCAGGTCTGTGGGCACCGTCAGCACAGGTGTAGGAGCATGCAGCATTGTTGTAGCCGGAGCCGCTTTAACTTAGCGAGCCACTTTTCCTTGCGGTGCCACGGCATTTTGTGGTGCCGGCTTTTCATGCGGTGCCGCAGATACAAAGCGCTCTCAGGCTTCTGTAGCCACAGAGGAAGCATGCACCAGTCCAAGTGTTAGCTCTGAGGCTCTTCCTGCTGCTTTGGTTGTAGAGGTCCCCGAGGCACCCTGTCGCTCTCCCCTG